GAATTAGAGGGCAGAGTGAGTGGTCCAGGTGGTTGGGGGATTCTATAGTCTCCCCAATTAGTTGGTTCTGAGACCCCGGGGTGGTTTCACACGCTCCCAGCCAGAGGAAGTTGCTCTGTGTGAAATTGCTCGGAGGGGGTGGGATCCACGAACTAGTACCCACCTGCAAGGTCTCTCCACCAGAGCATTACATTGATTTTTAGCACCTTTTGATCTGCAGCGCATTTTAGTTACTTGTCATCCTTGCTTCTGACAACAACTGGGTGAGGAATACAGGGACGGGGACAATTTTGTTATCCCCCTTTTCCAGGTAAGGAAACTGAGACCGAGAGCAGGTTCATGCCACTAGGTAGTGGTGGACGGGCTGAGAAGCCTCCACCCCTGGCTAGCTTGCGCCCTGCCTCGCCCCGCCCCAGTCAGGCTCACCCCTGTGCTGACTGCACCCCTGGAAAGCAGCAGCTGCATCAGTGATGGGTTGAGTTCATCATGTCCTCATGGCAGCCCTCTCGTTGCCTCGGGACCACACAGGCCCTGCTTACCAGCCTTGGAAGGGTCCCAGGCAACCAGGGTGGGCCTGCCTCACTCCTCTGCTAAGAAATGGGCAGAGACCACCTGATTCTTCTGGCTTCCAAGTCCCTCCTGGGCTTCAGGGTGGCTTCCAGAAGTCAGTTTAGAACAAAAAGGTGGGAACAGAGAAAGAGGGCCGTGCCGATGTCATGGGTGTGGCTCTGGGGCAGGGGCAACCCTATTTTCCAGGGCAGGGTGGTGGCTGGGTTTAGCCATGGAAGTCTAGGGGTGACCAACTAGATAGGGAAATCTGACAAGAAAGAAAGGATGCCGGTAAGTGGTGTGGAGTAATCCTTTAACCCGAGGAGACACACCCAAGCTCACTCCCAGCCAACCCCAATTCCCGACTCTCCACACAGAGCCAATTACCCTTAAACTTTCTCCCAGTGACATGACAAACCCATGTGGACCTCAACTTAGCCCTGCCCTGAGCCTAAACATTGCACCAGTCTGGGTGTTGGAACTGTAAATGAATGAATTCATGAGCTAAATAGAAATGAGGGTTAGCAGAGTCTCTAGAGAGTCTGCTCTTTTATAAACAAGTCAATGAATAAACTAAACTGCCGTTTGCAGAGAGCTTATGCGCTATGACGCGCCTTCATGTACATAACCTCATCTGATCCTCAGGCAGATGTGGAGCCTGGGGCCTGGGGCGAGGGGCAGAGCCAGGACTCAAGCCCAGATCTCCAGTACTGGAACTGAAATCCACGCTTCAGACTCTCTTAGGAAGTGTTCTTAAAGGGAGAGGTTGAATTTTGAGTTGGGCAGAGCAACTGCAGTTCCCGTATGAAGCAGCAGCATGTTGAGAGCCAGGGCTAGCGAAGGGCTGCCCGAGGCCAGGGATGACCGGTGGTCAACTGGCGTTCAGCAGCTGAGCTCTGAGCGCAGCCAGCAAAAAGCTGAGTGGTGGGGAGAAGTGCTTGCGAAAACATCAGAAATTTAAAAATCACACACACTTCTGACCCACCCTGAGAGAGCTTATGATTGGACAGAAGGTTCTGGAAGTGGAAGGCAGAAGCATAAAAAAGTGTGACTGTGGGCTTTTGGGGAGGGGAACTATGACTCCCCATGGAGTTCAGGGACTTCCAGTCTGTCACACAGGGTCTGGTTTCAGGGATTTGGGACATCACAGTGCATTGCCAGAGCTGTGCAGTAAGGACTTCCCTCGGGACAGTCCTGCTCCGGCTGGAAGGGGACTTGCCCAACGAGAAAAGCCTTAGAAATGAACGCTATTTCCTCCAGAAAGAAGCATGGGCAGGGAGAATGCTCTGGGAGGAGCTTGGCCGGCCCCCAGAGGTTTGGAATGTAAAAGGGTCAGAGGGACTGGTGGGCAGATCGTAGAAGTTCCTGGGGGCCTGGGAGGGAAATGGAGACGAGGAAAGCCCGTCTTCCTTTCTGATGGAAGGAGTGGGAAGCTGGTCTGCCAGGTAGAGCTGTGGCTGACCTGCGATTCTGTCACTCCTGACAGTGAGGACCAGGGCTACTCAGGCCTGGAGCTACTAAGAAACACCCTGAGCAAAGGCCTGAGTCACTGTGCTTCACGGAGTGGGCTTTTGCTAGACGCTCTGGACAAGCGTTTCCTGCTAGGCCAGAGCCCGGTACCTGGCAGAGGCTTTTACTGACAAAGGCAATGCTGGGAAAAGGGAGCCCTAGGCAGTACTGGGGGGCCTCTCTGGGGCAGAGCTTCTCACATCATGAGGATTGCTTGCTTATTTCAGGTTTCTGGGTGATAAGACAATAAATGAATGCCAAAACAAAAAAATTCAGGCTCACAAAAATCAGGGCTTTTAAAAATGTTTGTTTTTAGCATAGAAATGCTTTAACGACCTCCTTAAAATTGATATGCAAAATGATGGTGTTATTTTCAAGAAAATTACAGGACTTATAAAATATTAATTCATGGTTCATCAGGTGGTGTTGGTCTGGCCACAGGACTCCAAGTGTAGTTTTATGATGACTGTTTTCCATCCTTCCAGTGTGTCCCCAACACTGTTATAGCCTCACCTGTAGATAAAGCCAAGAACCTAATAGCAAGTTCCTTTGTGACAGGAGGCCCAGGGAAATAGCCCTCCTGGACCCCTTGGGGTGGCTGGCCTGGGAAGAGACCACTTTAGAGGGAGGTGGAGAGCAACAGAGGCTGCTGACTACCCTTCCCTTCCTCTAGTGTCTGTCTGTCTGCCGTCCCTCCCTCCCTCCTTTCCTCCTTCCTTCCCATACTCAGTGTACTACCTAAGGGCTCACACATGCACAGGGAGTACATGCAAATGTGAGTTTGCTATGTGTATGGTACAGGAGAAGTGCATGTGTGCATGTGTGTGTGTGTGTGTGTGTGCACGCGCCTGTGCAGGCTGGAAGTCAAAGGTGTGTGTGAAAAGTGTGGGAGACTCCCTCCGAAGCTCGAGGGCTGAGCTCTGCCTTCTTTCCCGTGTTTTTTTTTTATGTTCAGTTCCTTCTGAGCACCTGGCCTGGGGACTAAGCAGCTGGTGCGGGGCTTCTATTGTCTTCATTTGAGCAAAGCCAGCAAGAAGCCAGCACTGCGTCAGTCGGTCACTCAGGGAGGAGTCTAAGCTGGTGCGGGCTCTAAGGAAAGAGAGCCGGTGGCCCGAACAGAGGCAGTGATCACAGGGTCTAGATACAGCTGGGGACACACTCCAGTCCAATCTATCTCAGAGAACCCCAAGAACCTGCATCCCCAGGCTGTCCCAGATCCCAGGGGGCGGGTAGACACCACAATTGGGAAGCAGCAGATAGAGTGGCCAGGAGAAGCAATGTGAGAATGACCACCCTGCCTGGAGACCAGAGGGGGTGCCATAGGATGAGGGCTCTGGAGAGAGGCCTGTGGGAGCTGCCATTATGTGTCTGCAACCCTGGGTCTATTGCTATTTCCCCAGCTTAATTTAATTAAAACCACTATCTGAGGGGTCATTGGGGACAATGGAAAGGGCAACCCCAAAATATCCTCCAGCAACCTACTCTGCTATGTCACTGAGGCTAGCAGGAAATTTTTCTTGATACCTCAACATCACCAACTCCAGTGGATATAAGAGCAGCAATGCTGCCCAGCCGGTGTGGCTCACGAGGTTCCTGGTTCGATTCCCAGTCAGGGCACATGCCAGGGTTGTGGGCTCGATCCCCAGTGGGGGGCATGCAGGAGGCAGGCAATTAATGTTTCTCTCTCATGTTTATCTCTCATCAATGTTTCTATCACTCTCTCCCTCTCCATTCCATTCTCTAAAATCAATAAAAANTGAGGTTCCCGGTTCGATTCCCAGTCAGGGCACATGCCAGGGTAGTGGGCTCGATCCCCAGTGGGGGGCATGCACGAGGCAGGCAATTAATGTTTCTCTCTCATGTTTATCTCTCATCAACGTTTCTATCACTCTCTCCCTCTCCATTCCATTCTCTAAAATCAATAAAAACATATTTTAAAACAAACAAACAAAAAGAGTTGCAACACCAGACACAAAAGTGAAAGTGGTCTCCCCACAGCTTTTGAGCCCGTCCTTGTTTACATTCCCGGAAGCCTGCACATCTGGGGAGAACTCTTGGTATGTATCCTGCTGGCAAAGCCCAGTGTTCACTGAGCTGAGCACAACGAATAAGGGACTAGCAGAGGGAACACACGCGTGTCTGAAGCACTTTCCTTCCTTTCCAAGACCTCCACGAGCCCCACACTGGAAGGCAGGAGACCTGGGCTTTTGTCCTGAGTCTGCTATCAAATTGCCTCCTGGCCTTGGCAAGCCACTTCTTCCCTCCAGGACTCAGTTTTTACGCACAGTAGAGCCTGCACTTTGTTGGTGGATTTCAAACCAATTATTAGCAATGCAACTTTATTTTTCTAATGCATGCTTTGGTTGAGAGACAGTGCTTTGGGTTCCCCAGGGTTATCCCCTTGGTCTCCCTCCCTCAGAGGGCACCATAGAAATGGGAAATCGGGCCACTGTTTGAAAACTACTGAGCCATGTGATCTCTAAGGACACTTCCAGATTGTAACAGCCCAGGACTCTATAGTTCATATATCCTAATGTCCCTCTTATAAGGACAGGGATGATTTTCGCATGCTGCAAACAGGGAGACTGAGGGCTAGAGAGCAAGCCACGGGACTCCTGGTTCACAGCGCAGTGTGCTTTCTGCCAGGATGGCTCGCACTCTTCAGAGCAGGCTGAACGCATTGAGTGGCTAGGCCTCTGGGCAGGGAATCCAGACCCTCAAGCCCTTGTTACTTTCTCACCTGCTAGGTACAGGCAAACAAGGAAATGCTTCCACTGGTCCCCCCAGCTCCCCTGGAACCCGTCCTGGCCAACCTGAACTGCAAAGACATGGCCTCCAATTGCTGAGGCCCAACAGGCTAATGACCTCCGGCATCTCCTCCCTGCAGGTGCATCACCCAGATCATGAGGTCATCTCTCTCCTTGCTCCTCTCACTCCTCCTCATCTTGGCCTCCTTGACCAAAGGTCAGCCAACAAGACGACCAAGACCCAGACCCAGGCCCAGGCCCAGGCCCAGGCCCACACCCAGATTTCCTCAGCCCCACGAGCCATCGGAGCCTACAGACCTGCCTCCTCCCCTCCCGCCAGGCCCTCCGTCTGTCTTTCCTGACTGTCCCCGGGAATGCTACTGCCCCTATGATTTCCCATCTGCCCTCTACTGTGACAGCCGCAACCTCAGAAAGGTCCCTGTCATCCCACCCCGCATCCATTACCTCTATCTCCAGAACAACTTCATAACTGAGCTCCCGGTGGAGTCCTTCAAGAATGCCTCGGGCCTGAGGTGGGTCAACCTGGACAACAACCGAATTCGCAAGATAGACCAGAAGGTGCTGGACAAACTGCCGAGCCTGGCGTACCTCTACATGGAGAAGAACCAGCTGGAAGAGGTGCCCTCCGCCCTGCCCCGGAACCTGGAGCAGCTGAGGCTGAGCCAGAACAGGATCTCCAGGATCCCGCCCGGTGCCTTCAGCAAGCTGGAGCACCTGCTGCTGCTGGACCTCCAGCACAACGAGCTGAGTGACAGCGTCCTCAAGCCGGACACCTTCCGGGGCCTCAAAAGCCTCATGCAGCTCAACCTGGCGCACAACGGCCTGCGAAAGATGCCACCCAAGGTCCCCACAGCCATCCACCAGCTCTACCTGGACAGCAACAAGATCGAGACAATCCCTAGCGGGTACTTCAAGGCCTTCCCCAACCTTGCCTTCATTCGCCTTAACTATAACAAGCTTTCCGACAGGGGGCTCCCCAAGAACTCCTTCAACATCTCCAACCTGCTCGTGCTCCACCTGTCACACAACAAGATCAGCAACGTGCCTGCCATCAGCAGCAAGCTGGAGCACCTGTACCTCAACAACAACAGCATCGAGAGTGAGTGGGGGGGCAGGGCCAGGCCCCAGGGAGGGAGGCTGGGGACTCACCACTGCAGCCCTTTCTCAAGAGCCTCAGGGTCGGGGGGGGTGCAAAACACACCCTGCTTGGCGCTGGACTTCCAATCATGGCTTTACCACTCACTGTCTGCATGACCTTGGGCAGATATTTGCCCTCTCTGTAAAGTGAGAATGGTGACAATGCCTCTCATGAAGCTGATGTGGGGGTTTAAGCGTTTAACGTGGACACAGTGCCCCAAGTGCCATGCTTGGAGGTCACTCACTTCTCTTCCTCCATCTCTTCTCATCAGCCCCAGCTTCTTTGCCCTCCAAGCCTGTTGGTAAGGTAGGCATGGATTATAGTCCTGGACATTCTCCTAAAAACAGGACAGTGACATTCGAACGCCCACCCTGAAGTGTCCCAGGCCCATCAGCCGCAGGAACTGGCAGCGGTGACATGCAGCATCCCCCAAATCTGTGCCTGGGTGTGAAGCATCTGTAAAGGGTACACGCAGAGAGGCAGCTATACAGGGGAGGGCAAAAGGAGGTTAATAATAATAATAAATAATACAATAATTAATTAATAATACAAGAATAAACTGTTTCATGTACTCACAACTGTAAACCAACTTTTGCCACCCCTGTATATTCTGGGCCTGCAACAGGTGAAAATGCAGCAGCCAAGGGGGTGGGGTGGGGGCTTTCTGGGTCGATCTGGGAAGCTGGACTATTTAGTCGTGTCAGACGGTACACTTAAGGCAGAACTTCCCTGAGCTGCATTTACAGGGTCCTGGGCTATAAGGTATTAATTGCAGCCCAAAAGAAGAGACTAGAAGTCGCAATTTTGCTTCTATCAAATATGTCAGCTCTGAGCCAAGCATCAGCTGAAAGGTTTAGAAACTAAGGAGACAGTATTAATATTGAACAAAATCAGGCTATACCCCCACAAGGAATGCAGCAGCTGTAGGGATGAAGCGGACCAAAGGGAAAGAGGTGTGCCCCCCCTCCAAATAATCATAGGAATCCTGTTTCTGAGCCAAAGGATGGGAGAGATGGTCAAGTCTCTACATCTTGAAACAAGTGGTGGGGAGAACAGGCTTGTTTACGCGTCTGGGATAATTACACAGAGTGAGAGGGGCTTTTCAAAATCTGGCAAGAAACAAACCCAGGAAAAGGGAAACTGTTTAATTTTACCCTGCAGGGAGTAAACTGAGGCAACACATTACCCCCCAGGACAGGTCTGTCCCGGGTGTGCAGGAAGAGGCTGCTGGGACAGCCAGCCTCCTGAGGTCACCCTCAGAAAAATCACAGCCGCTCTCACCATGTCACAGGTCTGGGAACTGAGCATCAGGATGGTCAGGTGACAGTCCAAAGTGACAAAGGCTATAAGAAAATCCATCTATGTCAGGGCCCTTTCTGCCACTCCAGTGATGAAGAGAGAAAAGCAATGGCCCCACAGGTGACAAATGAGGCAAGGCTTTGGGAGAAGGAAAATTCATTTAGAAGATGACACATCTGATGTCATCCAACAAGAGGGAAGGAGAAAAGGAAATCTCATTTTCCATTCAAAAGCCATCAGATTTCCATCAGTAATCAAGTCAGAATCAACAGGCTCAGCGTGTTCCGGGGCTCCATGCCCTCCCCAAACCCCCTTCCCTTCCTGTCATCTGTTTCAGTTAACTGCGACCATCTTCTGTCCACCCACATGCCTCCCAGCCAGGCCACAGGAAACCCCCACATCCACCTGCCAGCTCCAGATCTCACCCCACCCACTCTCTCCACGCCGAGGCTAGATTCACCTTTCTGTGACATAAACCTCATCACAGACCCCTTCCAAATTTCACACCCCAGGCTGCCATAGTTCACACATCCTGCCATCCCTGTCGAAATGACAGTCCTGCTCAGCACCATTCCTCAGACTGAAGAGCAAGCCCCAACCCTTAGTGAAATATTTGAAAGCCGACCATAATTTTGAGCCACAACCCACCTTTCCAGCTCAGTCTCTGGTTCATCACACTGTGCTGCTTTCTACTCCCAGATCCTTCATGGCCTTTCGGGCCTCCAAGACTCTATTCAAATAGGTTCCTCTATCCGAAGCCCATCCCCCAGGTCTCCCCTGCTATAATCCCACCTTACGTTGAAGGTTCAAGGCTTACTTCCTCCATGAATCCTCTGAGTGAATTTCTAAGAACAACTGTGGATCAATTCCAACTTAACTCATTTTACAATGAGTACACCAGGCCTGGAGGTAAGGGTCGACTCACCCACCATCGCACAGTCCTAAAGCCAGCCAATTCCGGCCAGAGCTCGAGAGTCCTGGCCCTCAGTCGTCCACCCTCTCCTTCCTCCTCTGCCTGCAGCCCCTCTGTCCTGACCCTGCCCTCCTCTCCTGCTCACCTCTCCCCTCCTTTCTCCATAGAGATCAACGGGACCCAGATTTGCCCTAACAACCTGGTCACCTTCCACGACTTCTCCTCGGATCTGGAGAACGTGCCGCACCTCCGCTACCTGAGGCTGGATGGGAACTACCTGAAGCCGCCCATCCCGATGGACCTCATGATGTGCTTCCGCCTGCTGCAGTCCGTGGTCATCTAGGCCTTGCTCTGCCCAGGTCTCCTCGATGGCACTTGAATGCTGGTGGCCCGGGCGCTGTGCTCACCATTCTTTTTCTCTATCTCCCTGTCACTCTCCCAGCTTTGCCTTTCCTACCCAACCTTCCTGGGGCAGGAAGCTTCTAGATCGTGACTTCCCAGGCCTTGGTTGGGTCCACCCAGCCCAAAGACACCTGTTGTATACTTAAACTTCTGGCCCAGAAGCACAGATGTCTGTTTGAGGATTTTATAGTCCCTTCTCTCCCTGTCTCCCCTGTCACTCCTGGGTAAGTCTGGGCCTGGACTGATATCTGGATCTCGGTCCTGGTGAAGCAAGAAAATGGTCGGGGGCAGCCCTGAGGTGAGGCTCAGAAAGTCCTGCAGGAGACTCCTCCTTCGTGGGCAGCTCTCACCCCAAAGCATCAAAGCACCCAGGTCCCATTGGCCAAGGATCTGTCTTGCAAAACTGCTGCTCCACCAACTGTTTGCTGACACCGGACCTTGAACTGTCTCTCTGCCAGAAAGGACCTCAAGCTGGCTCTCTGCCAAGCTGTGTTCTCCAGAAAGGAAGTGCAAGGGCATGGCCAAGGGAGGGCAGAGGGTCAGGGCTCCCACGAGGACATCTGACCTAGTCTTCACGGGGAGCTGGGGCCTCTTTCTCCAGGTGAATGCAGCTCACACCCTCCTAACTGGGCCTCTTTATTCCAAGAGGAAGAGCAGAAATGGCTCAGAACCTAGGAATCAGCCAGGGAGAGAAGGGGGGAGTCAGAGCCTGGGATAGGCCCATGGGGATGCAAATGGGTGCTGCAGCTCCCCAGGCCACTCTGAACGAGAGGCCTAATGCCTGGGGAACACAGTGTCCACAGCCGTGGCACAGAGCCACCAGCCCCGCCCTGCCATCTGTTCTCTATCAGTGTGGATGACCCAATCCTTTCTGTCCCCAGAAAGGTTCCTGAGAAACCCACAAGAAGGGGTGGGCACCTGGAAATCTACCAGAAGCCTCTTCCACGTGTGCAAATTGGCCTCCCCTCTAACAGACACATCAGTGACACCTGGTGGCTGATACAGGACACAGATGGCTCCTCCTCCTCACCTCCCTGGGGGAGATTTTCCAAGATCAAGGACTTCCAACTTGAAGAGCCAGGGGCCATGTGCATGGTCTCCTCTCCTGTGGGGCCTAAAGGGCACAGAGCTACAGTGGCCCTGAGCTGGGAAGGAGGAGTGGGGGCCGGAGGCTCATTCCATCATGGGTGAGCAACGGTGGGAACCTTCGGGGACCCAGGCGAGGATGTAGTGTGTTCCCGGCTGTCCCAACTTGCCGGGCCTTCTGCTCTCAGCTCCCACAATCTGTAAACCACTTCAAGGCCCCTCTCGCACTCATGTTCCATTCTGCGGCTCCACCCTTCAGACCTTGCTCAAATGCAAGACAAGTCCTAAATATTATCCCCTTCCCTTGCAGTTATTTATTCTGTGTCTCGACTGTCCCTTCCCCAAAGTTCCCACCCTCCCTGCCTGCCCCAGGTACAGCTTGGCTGGTCTCAAGGGAGCCCGGGGCCCCAGGGTCTGACTCACCTTCGCCTTCCTCTGAACTGCCTCTAGGGGCGATGCCGGCAGGATGTTCTAGAAATGAGAGTGCACGGTGCCTCCCTTCAAGATGGGTTTAGAAAAGGTCCAGAGATGTTTAAGAAATCGTATTAAGCTCGACCCCTAACTTCAAGAAGTTCCCATTACACTCTCTCATCTTTTTTGCTAATTTACAGAAAATGGAGCCATTATATCCTAGCCTCCTTCCCTGCTCCCATAAACTGCCGTCTTCCCAGCTGCAGCTGGTTTCTCCAAGGCTCCTGCTCAAAGTCAGTATAGCACTGTGGCTGTAAGCAACCTGGTGCTCTGGCCTGGACAAGCCTCTTCTGCCCCTTAGTGACACCTTCAACCTCAGCCCCTTTGAGGAGGCCTCGGGGAGCACAGCTCCTGTGGCTCTGGGAGGGGTCATTCCCCTGCTCCCACAAACCCAAACTTGTTTGTTTCAGCAGCAACACAATCACTTTCACCCCCTTGCCACATCTAGAATGTCCAACCCCTTCATCGCTCCCCGCAGCTGTAAGCAGAGAGGATTCGAGTTAAACTGACTTTACAGCACACCCCCCCACACACACACACACAATGTGCTGATTTCCTGTGGGTCTCAGGAAGCCCACTCCTCCGTGCACATGTGCACCCCATAAACTGCCAGCGCTGTTGGCATCGACACATGCAGCTGTGTAAGTAGGTGTGTATGTGTACTCTGCCCACATGGCTGTTCTCCTGGAAGACATCACTCTGTGGAACACTGTCACATTCCAGCACGCTTCACAGCAGAGGAAGTCAAGCACACGAAAAACATCCTGCTTGAACTTGACAATGTGAACAGGTCAAGAATAGCACCCTAAAGTCATCCTGCCGCCCCTTTCCTCCTGCCCCCCCATCCCTTGCTATGAGAAGATGGGTGGAGAAAGGGTCTTATTCTTAAGAAACTCGAAGTAAACAAATCCAAAGCCTTTTCTTGGTGAATTTCCCCCATAAAACTTATCACTCTCATGAAAAATGATTCCTGGAGTCAGACCAGAAATCTGACAGCAACATTTGAAGCCCAAAGGCCCAGGACTTGCAACCCACAGATGCCAAATTGTTGAGAGTCTCGCAAATGCTCAGTACTGAGCCAAATACGGAAAGACACAAAACAGACACCATTTCTGGCCAAGCGAAGTTGCCAGACTAGGCGAGGAGATGCCGTGCAAACACCTAAAGCAATGGCAGAGCTACATCAGGGCAAGAACACAGGGCCGCCTCATCTGGAAAGTTCACAGGCTGTGCCAATGTTCCCAGGAGGGCGAGAAGAGGGTACCCCTAAATCTCTCACCAGATGGAAGGTTCTAGAGGTAGGCTTGTGATCCTCCCAGCCTACGTCTTTAGGATGAAAACTGCCAGATGCTGCCCCGCTCCCACCTGCTTCCTAACGCCTGCCTCCGTTCCATTCTGCAAGTCCTCAGTAGACATCAACTGCGTGCAAGGTTCCCGGCTAAGAACTCAAGGAGCAGTGACACATATCCCACACCCACGAGGAATTCATAGCTTGATAAAGGGAAAATCCATTCATGAATAACTGTGTGTCTTAAGTGTTTGAATAATGCTGTATACAAAGAGGGTGGGGGGAGGGCCTCTGCCTCAGCCACGGAGAAACCGGACAGGCTCCTATTATTGGAGCTGTATCATCAGGGCTGAGTAAGAATGTTCCAGGTGGGAGAAGCAGGGAAAGGACACAGGAGGGAGGGGAAACAGCATGAGCAAAAAGGTGGGAAGGCTCGGTGTGTAGCCTGGGGGGTGGGGGGGGGTTGCATGTCAGTGTGTCTGTGTGTGCGTGTGTGTGTGTCTATCTGTCTAAGAAAGGGAAAGGGACAGTTCTGGTCATGGAGTTATATGGCTACAAGCCCTCAGCAGGGAATACATCTCTGTTGTCCAAAACCCAAGAGGGTTCCTGAAATTCCCACCGGCCCCCGCCCTGCCCATGAAAGGGGCAGCAATAGGGACAGCTGGCCAGACTTGTGTCCCCACTGCCTGCCACATCCGTGTCATCGGCATGCCTTTGCTTCTCCTAATGAAAGGCTCGAATTAGAAAGGCTCCCCACGCCTCCCACACCTCTTCCTGGGCTCTAGGGGGCTGAGCATCCTGGAACAACAGAGCGATGGTCAGATGGTCCCCACACAGGTCGCACACACACATCCCAGGGCCCTCCCTGAAATCCGTGGAACGAGAGTATGTGACAGGCAAGTTTATAAAAGTAGAGCCAAGGCTGGGAGAGAGTCTAGGATGTGAAGTCAGTTTCCAAGGGATTGAGGGT